TTTCCTGATGTCATCCTAACCTATTCTCTATCCTTCCATTGTTGGATATAGGTCTCCCCCAGTTCTCTCCATCTTTCCCTATCTTGAGCTGTTCTCTGCCATGTGGAACTTCCTTGTTTCCTGATGTCATCTTTCCACCTCATTAGTGGTCTGCCTCTTGATCTCTTTGCAAAATCAAACTTATTTTCTGATATTTTGGTTTCTTTACCTGTAAATGCCTAAACAGGTACTGATATACTGATTCTCCATTCGTCTCCTCATCCATAAGAGGTGATCAAATGTGGTTCGGAGTCTTACTATGCGTAGTTATGGTATCCCTTAAAGAGAGCAATAGCACATTTAGATATTATCACGAGCTTTTAACTAGCTAACTTTAAACTTAACTTTATTTCATTTCTTATTCTTAGATATTCTTCCTTTCCTTCCTTTCAGACAATTTTGCATCTGATGATTTGTAATTATTTGCGTTTTATGATTACATATTGTGTGAATAAATTATCTTCTATTGTCATTTTGTTCCGACATATTTCTGCATTTATTGCCTGTCATCTGGATGAAAATATTTCTTTCTTTACTAGTGTTTTGAGTGTGTAATCTCCTTGTCTTTGAGAAATTCAATCATTGTTTTACTATATCAAACAGTTCATTAGTAATTAGGTAGCACTGCCGGCTTTACAATAATATTGTTTCCCAAAATCTGGGGAAAAATGAGGCATTTATCACCAATTTTGCAAAAATAAATTTTGAAGAGAAAAACATCTTTTCAATTTTATGAATTTTTTTTATATTTCTGCCAATTTTTTACTTACGTTTTGAATTTCTTTTTCAGTGAAACGATGTTACTGCCAAGGCCACTGTCCTGACAATCAGTTCAATGGTACTTGCGAAATCCGAACTGGGGGCGTATGCTTTACGTCTGTCGAAGCTATCTACGATGACAGTCAGGACAAGGACGTTCCTCTATATACCTATGGATGTCTCCCCGACGACGAACGAGGACTTATGCAGGTTAGTCATCTTGTTAATTTTGATCTGCAACCTCCAAAAGACAAACTGCACATTCAAAAATTTTTTAAAAAATTAGAAATAGAAAATAGAAGTATTTTGACAAATTTTGAGCAAACTTCATGTTTTCAGTTTTAAAAAAACTCAAAAAAACTACTTTTTTCCAAGTATGAAGCGGGAAAACCAAACATACAATTTTGTTAATTTTCTTACAGCATAAAGATATAATCCTAAGAAATACTTACGAATTTTTTGAAAATTTTTGAATGTACAATTTAGCCACAATAGGAAAAAATAATATGTTCCGGATTATAATAAAGCTTCCGGTAAGAGACTGGACAAAATTTTAATAACATATAAAACTATAAAAGTGGAAAATATTTGCAATAAAACGTTAAATAATTTTTCCTAAACATGTGAAAAATCTCGTTAAACAGAATTATATCTTGAACTGCCGCCATCAAATTGTGTTGTAGATAGTTGCCTCCATCTGAAACATCCGTAATATCATTACTAGACTTCGGCAAATATGCAAATAAAAATGTAGAAAATATGCACGTGTTTACCCGAAAATATGCAAATATTTTACAAAATATGCATACAAATAAATAAAAAAATCGTAAAATAGTAACAATTTTATTAAAAAAAAAAGTGTACATAACTAAATATTTCCTACTATTCATTAAGATTTACATTTATTTTAAGTAACTACATCATTTCTAAGTATGAATAAACTTATTTAAAATTATGGTAACAATAAATGACCAAGTGGTGTTCAAAATTTTCTAACAAAAACCTGTGGCTTATGTCTGAGTACATATATTTATATATGGAAAAACTTCGTTCAACATTAACTGATGTAACGGGAACATTTTTCAAACTAACCAAAACATTTGGTTCTAAATTAATTGTTTCCGAAATATTTCCAGCTAGAACACTGACTACTTCAGAAAGAATATGGTAACCTTTATTTTTTTCCATAGTAACTTCAAATTTTTTTAAAATATCTTTTCCAATATTACCGCTAACGTTCCGACAACATGACGCAAATTCTTTTATTAATGCTGTACTTTCGAACAATGACAGTTTTGGTGATTCTAACTGAGTAATTGTTTTTTGAACAAAACTAAAATTTGATTTTATAAATGAAAGTTCTTGTTGAAGCAAGTTACTCTGAAAAGTTTGTTTAGAATCCAAAAGAGATTGGGAACTTTCATCTGTTAACGTATCAATTATGTTCTTTATTTTAACAAAATGATCTGCATAAAAATTAGCTGCTTCTAACCATGTTCCCCATCGCGTTAAAATAGGTTGTGGTGGAAGAGGAATGTTAGGTAGCATTTCTTTATAAAGTTGAATTCTTATAGGAGATTTAAGAAATACTTTTTTGACACTGGATATCATGGTATTTACAAGAGGAAACTTTTTTCGTATTTCCTCTGCAACTCTGTTTAATCCATGCGCTACACAAGTAACATGTATTAAATCTGGGAAAAATATTTTTAAATTTTGTCCTGCTTTCACCATATAAGGAGCAGCATCCGATAAAATAAGCAGTAATTTACTAGAAGGAATAGTTGTCGGAAGAAAAAAAGTTGCTAATGTTTCTTGTATAAAACGCGAAATTGTTAAAGCATTTGTTTTCTCAAGTTGCTGGCATGAAATAAGATGAGATTTTGGTAAGGTATCTTCTTTAAGAACACCAATCAATAAATGAGCAATATACTTTCCTGAGGAATCAGTGGTTTCGTCTATAGATATGTAAAAATAATTATCTGCAATTTCTTCCTTAATATTAATTAACACCGACGAGTATAGCCCGTTCACATTATTTCTTCTTAGAGACCGATCACTTGGAACATTAAGTTTGCAATATTTTTTTAGAAACGAACTAAAATTTACATTTGCTAATTTTGAAAGCGGTATGTTTGCAGACACTAATGTGCGACACAAGTCTTCATTAAAAGTTTCTTGCTCATCTAATTTTTTTGAAGTAGATTGGAAACATTTAACCATTGAAGTTTGATGTTTTCCTCCTATTTTTCCTTTTTTTGCAATGTGTGAAGCAGTTCTCACATGTTGGTCTATCTGAAATTTCTTCTCACATGCTGTCTATAAATAAAAATAAAAACCTTTATTTTAACCCAACCTTTAAAATATAAAAATATACAAGGTGTTTTTGGTTAGTCAAATAACTGGTTTGGAAAAAAAAAACACTCGCTAAGTGTTTTAAATGCAGTATTAATCCACAAATTAGTTTTTGTTACTAACCATTAGTACATCATATAACTTATTTTAAAATTCAACAAAAGTTTTTTTTTTTGTTAATTCAATTACAATAAAAATAATTGTGTTTTAGAATAGCTGACTTCATAAAAAAAAGTAAAGGTGAAAAATTTTTCTAAATACACACCATTGTATTGTACCATGGACAATTTTTTCTCACTAAGGGAAGCTATTTTTCATTTAAAAACAACCTACGAGTACTAAATTTCAAGTAAATACGTATATTGGTTTTAAAGTTATTGTTGTTATTAACTAAAAGAATTTAATTTTTTTTTAATTTTAACACCCTGTATCTCGAAAAGTAAATAAGTTTGACCCCTCATTAACTATATCGTTTTGTTTAATTTTTCGAGAAGTATCTACAGTCAAACGTTGTAAGTGTCATTTGGAAACACCCTGTATGTATGAAATATTAGATATTTAATAGAAAATATTAGATACTTATAATTTTGCCACAGACTGAACAGTAGATTTTTCCCATATCCATAGACAGCTCGTTATAAGGTTTAATCCAAGTTGAAGCACTGGTTGTTTTAGGCATTATAAAATCACAATCTTCCTTTTTGTTACGCACAACGAGTGTTTACGCTTTGAATATCAAAACAAAAATGATTTACAAATCTGAGCATCAAATTAGAAATGTTTAGGTACCTAATTCAATAAACTGGGAGATTTTGGAAAATCCCTAAATTAGGAACAAAACTATTAGCCGTTTACCTGCTGTTAAGATACAATAAATTGTAGATAGATTTGTGGATTAGATCATAAAATGCAAATGAGCGAACCCTTAGCGATTATCCAATAACTGAATGCCTCAGTGACCGAGACTTTCTAAGAATGTTGAGGGCTACTTAAATTGATCTTCTTTGAAATTGTAAATGTTTTGTACCTGTAGAGATTACGTACTTAGATCATTTCTTGATTAAAATGACTACAAAATTTTATACAAGAATTGAAATAAATTGGTATGTTTAAAAATTTTCAAATACAGTATAAAAATCTGAACTTTTATGCACTTTATGCAAACTTTTATACAAATATGCCAAAATATGAAATATTTGCATAAAATATGCACAATATGCAAAATATGCAATATGCATATTTGCCGAAGTCTAATCATTACTTTCGGCTTCGAAACGCTTCAAACAAAACGTCATACTAACAGGGCTGCCATATCAATTATGTACTTTGATCAACACTTTGGCAGATTACAACAAAATTTAATAAGAATGTTATCGGTTTGAATTTTGAACTGGCCATGCTGAAACTTGAAACTATGAAATGCATATTTGTAAAAAACCTAATTAGTTTTTAAAAACCTATTTAGGCGTTTTTAGTTAATTATTTTAGTATTTATAGACAAACCAAAAAGTATTCTTTACTTTCATAAGATTTGCTTCAGATTACTAAGTCGCTAAAGAAATCAGATTGACACCGGAATCCAAAGGAATAGCTTACAAAGTGTTGTAAGTATATACAAATCCTGTTTCCTGAAGATAATGGGACCAATATTAAACCGTGAGTGAAGCTACTGTAGGATCTATACACACAAAAGAAAGGATAATTCAACCAGCGAATATATATAATAATAATATGTACAATAATTTCCAGCTACAACACTTGCTAAACGGAAACCAACTGTGACAGACTTAAAAGACTACGACAAACAAATCATTAGAAATACGATTCACCATTTTAAATGAGACTGAATGAATAAAAGGCTTGAAGAGGCGCCGAAGATGATACCAAACAGGATAGTAAGAGATAGGACTAAAACAACAGATATCATATAAAAGATTGCACAAGCCAAAGGAGATGGACATAGCTCATTTAAATGATAATCTTCTTCTTATTCCTCTTTATAAGCAATTCTGCTTGTTTATTGGCGGATTAGTACCTCTGTGGAAGGTTGTCACTCCATTTTTTGCGCGGTCGTCAGGTACTGGTAACTTATCTCTTGCTATTTTGACGACACAGGTCTCCTCCATTCTGCTTATGTGGTTATTACATTCTTTTTTCTATTTGTGTCCATTCAGGTACATACACTGTACCTTCTCTTTCGATCTCTCAGCGTATTTCCTGTAATTCTTCTCAATACTCTCATCTCTGCCGTTTCCAGTAGTCTTTGCATTGTGGCTGTGTCATGTCTTATTTATGAGGCATATGTCATTATTGGTCTTACACTCGCTTTATAAATTCATGACTTTATGTCACTATTAATGTGTCTTTTTCGCCATATAGTTTATTAAGGCATCTTGCCAGTCTATTTGCATTTTGTACTTGATCTCTCACTTCTTTGTCCAGATCACCATAGCTGGACAGTGTAATTCCCAGGCATTTTATTTCGTTGGTTCTTTGCTGACTACTAGTGTTTTAGTTTTGTGAGATTGTCATGTTAAATTCTTTTGCTCTTATGTTAAATCTGTGGACCAGTCTTTGCAGACTATCTTCATCTTGGGCTATCAATATTGTGTCGTCTGTGTGACTGGGTATTTTTATTTCTTTGTTTCCCATTCTGTATCCTCTTCCTTTCTTAACTTCTTGATGATTTCATCCATGATTAAATTGAAGAGCATATGGTTGAATGAGTCGAGCTTGATCCTAGTCTTATTTCGCTGCCTATTTCTGTAGGTTGTGTAAGTCCATCTATTCTGATTTCCATTTTGTTGTTTTGATACATGTTTTCGATAGTTTTTATAATATTTAGGAGAACTTCTCTATTATACAGAAGAGGGATTACATCTTTAAATCTTACTCTATCAAACGCTTTTTTAGGCCAATCAGACATTATCATTAAAGATGGACCAAAAGACTCATAGAATGGAGACCTAGAAAAAAACAAGAGACGGTGGGCCACCAACAAGATGGATGAGCGATCAGGAAATTGAATGCAGAAAGCACTGTATAGAGGACAGTGGAGAGAGTGCGCATCCCTGTCGAACTCCTCATAATAAAAATTTCTTTGGAGATCTGACCTTTACTTCTACTCTGATTCCAGTACAAACCGGTTATTATCCGAATGTCTCGTCCTCAAAAAATCTTGATAAGTTTTTTTTATTGTCGTTTCTTGGAAGAAATTTAAATATTCCATAAAAACTTTTGCTGGTATCACGCTAACGCTGATACAGTAAACTTCACATTTGGTAAATCTGTGGTCGTAGTGACAAATTAGGAGATATGGCAACAAACAATAACACCTTTCGCTTTGCATTTATAGCATAGACGTGTTCTTCATTACTATCAATATTTTGTACCGTTATTAAAAGCAATTTTAACAAAGCATTTTTACATAAGGATATCCTGGTGTGATAAAACGATAAAAGAAGGTATTTTAAGTACTTTCTAATAACTATTTAATGTACCTGTAATAAAATCCATAATGATAAACTAGCTCTCATTCCTTCATTAAATGAACAAGAGATAATTTACATCATAATTAATAGGCTATGAGATAAAATCATATATTATGCTGGAAATTTTATCTTGATAGTGAGCTGTTTAATTAAATTCACGAGTGATATTTGCGTTCTATTCGCTATTCTTTCAATTACTTCTTGTTTGGTAATGACGTTCATCCAGAAGATTTATCTTAACTTTCCATTAGCTCGTAATAGCTTTTATTTGTTTAAAGTTTCTCGTTTTTCTTTAATGCTGTGTTGTTAAATAGTCTTAAATACTCCCTTGTTCATCAACAGTCTTTGTAGTCACTATGTTCTCCGGTATAACAGATGTTAGTCAAAGAACCATTTAGAGATTTTTAAGTGAAAGCAAACTGGAAAACGTTACTGAACGATACTTGAAGGAAAACGACCAATGAAAATTAATGACTTTGGTAGAAAAGTTCATTTGTTCTATTTAAACAAGGAGATTCCTACATTAAATACAATATTAAAGATAATAAGAGATAATAATTTTCCTCACTTTGGCCGAGATAAGTTATCGAAATTATTTAAAGAAATCAGTTTCTGGCTGCAGATTTTCCAACTATTTCTAGACTTTAGATAGAGCGCCGTATCTTAGAACAGAGTTTCCCAAACTTATCTAAACCGCAACCCCTTTTCGCTAAAAAATTTGTTCGCGACCCCCCAATTTCCCCCACTCATTTATTCAATATTATTTGACAGAAATAGCGTGCCTAATTTACAATTATCTGATGGTTTCTCAAATTTAATTTTACTTTACTGTTTAAGTTTAAATCAAAAACAATTATTTATTTAATACAATTATTTTAATGATTGCGATCTGTCCCACTAGTAATTAGTAGTAGGTATCTCTGCCAGAATAGCATTTACAATAAAAATAAATAATAAGAAGTCGACTGCACATTGTACACCGCGACATATTAGCTTGTGTCTACATCGCAAAACTCTTCCATGATAATCGCGAAAGCGCTCGCTACTAGATGGCACTCTGGAACGTTCTCGTAGCCTCGTTTTGGCTTTATATAAGCGGCGATGCGCAACGAAACCTCAGTTCGAATCCAAACAGCCTATGGTGGCGAACGCGGTGTTGAGTAATGAGTAAATATTTTACGACTTACGTATTCCCGTTTACGTATTTACGTCTACGATAAATTATAAATTATGGATAAGTTTTTAAAAAGAAGTGCAGAACCATCTACGTCTGAAAGTGGCAGTAGCAGCAATAAAAAGAAAAACAGATTCTACATTGATGAATATCTTAAATATGGTTTTACCGTTATTTCCAATAAACCACAATGTGTTATTTGTGGACAAGTCTTGTCAAAAGAAAGCATGAAGCCATCAAAGTTACTTCGACATTTAAATAGCAAACATCCAAATATTAAAGACAAGCCCGTAGAATTCTTTGAAAGAAAGCTGAACGTTCTTCACAAACAGCAAGACAGTTTTCCCATGGCAACCACTACTAATGAAAAAGCATTATTAGCAAGTTATAAAGTTGCTTATCGTGTTGCCAAAACTAGTAATCCGCACACAATTGCTGAAAATCTGATTTTTCCAGCAGCTGTTGAAATGGTACATATAATGTGTGGGGAAAGAGAGGCTGCAAAATTAAATACAATACCTCTGTCAAATAATGCTATCCAAAGAAGAATTAGTGATATGGCAGAAGATATTCAAGCGCAAGTTGTGGAAAATCTTAATAAATGCACGTACTTCTCTCTTCAAATGGACGAATCCACAGATATATCTAACTGTGCCCAATTCATTACGTTTGTAAGATATGATACAAATAATGGCATTCAAGAAGATATTTTATTTTGTTCCCCATTGGAGACCAATACCACTGGAAAATGTTTACTCGACACTTTTGTGAAACGTACAAGTAAATATGATATTGACTGGGATAAATGTATTGCTATATGCACAGATGGCGCTAAAGCTATGACGGGACATAAATCTGGTCTTGTCGTCAAATTACAAGAAATAATGCCAAATGGAGACATTGTTTTTTACATCGAGAAGCTCTTGCGTCCAAAGCTTTACCTCCTGAAATGGACTGTGTTATGAAAACCATCATTAAAGTTGTAAATTCCATTAAAGGAAAAGCTTTGCAGACCCGTATTTTTAGAAAAATTTGCGAAGACATGGGTGCTTTATTTGAAAATCTTCTATCACACCGAAGTAAGGTGGCTTTCAAGGGGCAACGTCTTAAAAAGAGTATTTCACTTAAGAGCAGAGCTTTTAATGTATTTGAAAGATGAGAAGTCCCCATATGAAAATCAATTTTCCGATCCTATTTGGCTTCTGAAACTAGGTTTCCTTGCTGATATTTTCGAGCAATTAAATATTTTGAACAGTAATTTACAAGGTCGCGACATTAATATAATTACAGCCACAGATAAAATTAAGGCGTTTCTAAGAAAAATCGATTTATGGTCGACCTCACTTGGCAAAAAACAACTCGATTCATTCCAGTGCCTTCAGGAAATTATGGAAAATGTATCCAATTACAGTGCTACAAATTTTGAACAAGTTTTTGCTGACATGCATGTTACTTTGCTCAATTTAAAACAACAGCTCTGTGATTATTTCCCCGAAGAAATTCAAAACAGTTACGACAGTTGCAGATGGATACTAAATCCGTTTTTAGCCGATTCCTTTCAGCATGTTGAAATACCAATAAACATGAAAGAAAAACTTATTGAAATATCAAGTGATGGAATGTTGAAGCTCCAATTTTTTTCCCAGAACTCGGACCAATTTTGGACCGAAAAGATGCAGGAATACCCCCAGTTGGCGAGTGAAGCTGTAAAATGTTTGGTTCCATTTGTAACATCATATTTGTGTGAGTTAAGTTTCTCGTCTATGACTGCCATTAAAACAAGAGTTAGAAATCGTCTCGTACTTGAAAATGATATAATTGTGTGTGTCTCAAATACACAGCCTAGATTTGAAAGATTAGTTTCACAGAAACAGGCGCATAGCTCTCATTGAGATTATAATATTTGACTTTGATTTACTCTTTTATTTTTACGGACTTAATATTTAGTTTTATATTTCGTCTGATAATTAATTGTTAATTTCTATTTACGGCGTTGTTAAAATAAAAATACATGATCTAACAAAGTGGTGCTTTTGTCTTATTTTGGAAATGTTCGGCGACCCCCTAGTACCTCATGGCGACTCCCCAGGGGTTCGCGACCCCCCCACTTAGGGAAACCCTGTCTTAGAATATATAAAGGTAATATAAGGAAGTTGTACAAAGATTACTAACCAAAATAGTACAAAAATTGGCGAAGAATATGGCCTGACCATCATCAGATAAAGAACTAAATTTATAATCATATCTAAGAACAGTAATGTCGGCCTTCAAATTAAAGTGAAAAGATTTGTTGCAGAAACTTAGAAAACAATAAAAAGCTAAAATATAGATAAGTTGTCAAAACTAATAAAATAATTCGATTATTTCAAAACGGTCAGGCTTACAACGTGTGCATATGCAATATATTTTGAATATTTTAAACGTCCTAAGTGCCAATGGCATTTGCCTTGTAATGGAATCTAAACATAGTGCATCAGAAATGCAATAAAGTTCACGAAATGGCTTTGCCGAATTCGGAAGCAGGCGCCATCGATATAACTGCAACTATGTTGTGTTTGAACACGGTCAATGTCTTTTGAATATTAATAGCACTGCATTCAGTAAACGACTGTGTTTTAATTTATTTTAGTCTATTCCTAAATTGTGTGTTAAAGAAACTGTGTGGAAGTGATGCTTTTATTACTATACTTTATTTGTTGGCAACTGGCAGTTCATTACAAGTGCGAATCTTCACTAATCTGCAAACAGCAGGTAGTGGTTCAAGTGGTCAAATTGAAATCACTCAAAATAATGTCCTCTCCTGGTGAAATTTACTTTCAATATTATTTTTTAAAGAGTCCACCGTGTTAACATAGAAATAACATTACAAACCCGTGGGTTGTATACCAAACAGGTATGAAAATCAGTGTTGGGGAATCACAAAGGGACAGATTTATATCTTAAATAAAATTAATATTAAAGCTGATACATCGTATTGGTATCTTAACATTTAAGCAATGTGCAAGCAATTAAAAACTTGATTTGTTTATAAATTATGGGTTTCCATCTCTTCCTCTTCTTTGTCAGATTCCTGGTCCGGCCCGATTGGAATGGTTATAGATTGACACAAAGTTCTTTAATGTTAGAGATTTGGTTTAGTCCCCACTTCCGTGCGAAACGCACTGTACTATGCACTGTATAATGGACAGCCGGAATGTGACACCACATCTGTCATATTGTTGTTATTACTTTCCAAACAAAAGTTGAAATGTCAAATTTCAAGACTTTTTAATGTCTATAAAGTTAACATTTTGCTTCCTCTGCTGCTTTTTCTTTTAAGTGTAGTGTTTTTTACGATAATACCATCACAATTCAGTGTTCTATTTCTATGAAATATAGTTTAAAAGTATACATTAAAGAAATTCTAACCTTACTTTATAGATTCATGCATTTTATTGCTATTTTTATAAAACAACATGCTTTATTATTTGCACAACCTTGTAAAATTGTTGTAGTAACTATTAGAATACTTAGATATTGCAAAAAGCGGAAAGATTCTGTAAAAAAAAATTAAAAAATAACGAAAAATACAAAAATCAAATCTACGTTATCACTCCGGCGGTCTATTCCCCATACAATAGAACCTTTCTGCCTTTACGTGAATTTTGACTCCGCCTTAGTGCAGCTTCTTGGTCAGGAGTGTTTGTACTATCTTTATCAACAGTCCACAATCTTTCTTTCTCTTTTTTTACGAGGTTTACGCCATTTGTCCAGTTATTTATTTTATTTAGCGTATGGATAATTACAATACGATAAAAGTAGTATTTAGATAATAATTATGTTCAAATTGGAATTGTAACCTAAGTTAAATATTAATTATTAATGTCCAAATTGCACAGCCATTCAATTGCACCAGGAGAACACTCTGCAAATCTTGAAGGTCTCCGCTGTATCTGCGGATTGGGCAATCCGCCATGATGTGTTGGGATGGTCTGTCTCGGGGATCCACAATCACATTGTGGGCTTTCTGCATGACCCCATCGGTATAGAGGAATCGGCACATTTGCCATGACCCGTGCGTATGCGATTTAATTTTGTCCATATAGGGCGTGGCAGGTTTGATCCAGTGAAGCCGATCGACGTACTTGTTATTTTGATGACGTCTGGCTCTGTTGTTGGCATCCATCTTTTCGTCCACTGCTCTTGCTTATTGTAGCTATCACCCATTCCCTGAACGAATTGGACAGGGGGTCGTCTGGACTTCAGTCTTTGTTGGTCTCGTGCGGCGTGCGGAATATACTGTTGAATTGGCAGACGATTATTTGCCATGATTTTCTGATATTCTCTGACAAGTGCTGCCGTTCGTCGAATATCTGGAGGTGCTATATTGCTCAGAATTGGAAGCCATCTTAGTGGAGTTGATTTGATAGTACCAGATATTACTCTCATAGTGTAATTTAGTTGAACATCAATCTTGTTGACATGAGCGCTATTTAGCCATACCGGTGCGCAGTATTCAGCGACAGAATACACCAGGGCCAGTGAGGAGGTTCGAAGTGTACCTATCCGCAGTGGCACCCCATGTCGTTCCAGCAAGCTTTGTTATTATGTTGTTACGGGTTCTCACTTTGGCAGCTACATTGGTAAGATGGGTTTTGTACGTCAGTGATCTGTCGAGCGTTACACCCAGGTATTTAGGGTTGTTATTATGTTTCAAAGTCTCGCCATTGAAGGTGATGCTAAGGGTGTCATTCGAAAGCTGATTTGTGAGATGGAAGAGGCTTGTCTCAGTTTTGTTTGTATTAGAGCGAAGTCGCCATTGTTTAAAGTAGTCGCAGAGAACCCTTAAGTCTTCGGTAAGCGCCCTTTCTCCAACATCTTTGGCTTGGTTTTGAAATGCGATAGCCAGGTCATCTGCGTAAGCAATTTTTTTTGATTTTGTCTCTGGAAGATCGGCAGTGTAAATGTTAAATAATAGTGGAGCAAGCACTGAACCCTGTGGGAGGTCATTATTTAGCTTTCTGACATTGCTGTTTGTATCGTTTATATATACTTGAAACAGTCTGTTGGTTAGGAGGTTATTGATTAGTTGGCAGGTTTTCAGGCATGGTATGACCTTCATTAGCTTGTAGATCAGGCCTTCTCTCCACACAGTGTCATATGCAGCCGTCAGATCTATAAACGTTACGGCTTTTTTTCCCGTTTTTCGAAACCGGCTTCAATAAATGTCGTTAAGGACAGTACTTGATCACTACAGCTACGCCCGCTTCTAAATCCGGCCTGTTCGACTGGTATCACAGTGTTGGTGATGGGGTATATCCTGTTATAAGTCGCTCTAGTAGTTTGTAGCAGCAACTGAGGAGAACAATGGGTCGATAGTTTTCGGGTAGTTCACCATTTGTCCAGTTATCTTCCTTTACGTTTTTTATGTAATTTAGTTGTTTGACATCCTTTAATTTAAAAGTTTTATTTTGTCTGATCACTTCACTTTTTACTTGAGCCCATATTAACTCCCAAATGGCAAACATAATATCGTTATTCCTTTTGTTTTTGCCATTTCGTCAATGACATATTTTTTCTCGCATCATATTCTATTGGAATACGAGGTTTTTCTTTTTAGTTTTGCATATAGCCGCTTAGATGGCGCCACCAATAAAGCCTTTCGATGCAAATGTAACGTCGATCTTTTGTTGACATAAATCATGCGTTTCAAAGCGATACGATAAGTCGTGTAGATACAGTGAATTTTTGAAATTAGCAAGTCGGTCAAAAAATGGATCTTAGCTAAGAACATTTTCGTCGTTTTTTACATTTAAATCTTGCCATATTTTTATCACAGTGTGTTCTTATTTACCCATGTTTCGATCTGTATAATATACTTTCTGCGCCATAAAATGATTTTTTCTTTTTCAATGAGAGGATACTATTTCTCTTTCTCTTTAAATACCTAACATTCATTTCACATAAAGTATGTAACAAAACAAGTTTTAATATTTTTGGAATATTTTTATTAGATTGAAGAAAAGAATCATTTTTTTTTATAGTTGGTAATTCCTTTTTTAAATAAAATTCATGTACTGCACGACGAATGGCCTGCTTGGTTTTATCGTCCAATTTTATTTGTTTCGTTCCTCTGGTGTCAACTCAAAGTGCTATTATCGTTTATTTCATCATCTGTTTTAATTACTATGTACACACTAGCTTCTAAAACTTTTGTCAAAATACTACATGATGTAACTTCATCGCTTACATTCATATTTTATTCTCTGGCTCGAAGTTCTTCAAACACATTTCCGATCATAATTTTTTCTTCGCGTGTTAAATTGTGACGTTTCTTTTTGATACACGGCTCACTATTACTACAGTCAGTCAGTTGCCAGAGCATTTGAACAGTTGAAAAATAGACCAGTCAAATTATTGAATTGTATTTCATATAAAATGAGATCTCTTCTATCTGAACGTATATTGTTTGAACAGTCATAAGAAGAAAGTCAATTTTTAAGAGAAACAGATTCTGCAATAATCCACTAATACTGCATATTACTGCAGATCTAACAAGACATTTGCTTCTGTTTGGTCATCAGCAGCTGTCGGGTGTTTTGGATGATTTTAGAGGAGTACCGCTAGGGGAGAAAAAGACGGAAAAACCATCACCTCGAACACCATTCATTGACATAAAAAGACATAAATTGAATATTTTAGCAAAGTCTCGATAAATTGATTTAACAATAATAAAATCTTGTTCAATTTCGAGAAAACATTTAAATTTACTTTAACAATAATTCAATATATTTTGATACGCCGATGTTATCGATTTGTGATAGCATGAATCATTTTATACAATTGTCAATGGATAAATATAGAATATCCGGTATTTTCGCTAAATAATAACGGCTCGTGAATCTTTATGAAGGCTTTAATAAACACTATTGTTAAAGTACTACCTAATTATAGTCTTGAAAAAATTATTACATAATTTTTGAACATTTGAAGCGTTTAATGTTTGTTTTCTGTTGTTCAGGCTAGTTAAACTTTAAAAGCAATTCAACTGCTTTACTTTCTTATACCATGGACATTTACTCCTCTTGTCTTCTTCCTTCTCTATCGTGTTCATCTTTTACGTTGACCAGATATCGAAGTTTTAGTATCTTTATTTAATCAATTATGGTTAATAAAATAAATATTTGATCGACACACAGTTTGATTTATACAATTGTTTTAATTTGTTTTCAGTGCAAAGGCCATCTCGTACCACACGAACAGAGTAAGTCCATCCAGTGTTGCAACGACAAAGATTTCTGTAACCTGTCACTGCTTCCTACCTATCCAGAACGACCGACGCCAGAAACCCCCGGTTTCGGTACCCCTGACAACTTACCGTTCACCGTCCTCCTTACGACCATTACCTTCTGCCTTACTCTAGTTCTTCTGATTGTCGCTATAGTATTCATGAAGAACAGGAGGAAAGATGTGCAGAGGAAGTTTGGATTGTATGGCAAAGGATATACTGGCGAGAAATACCCCCAAATGGAAGTAAGTATAACTTATTATCATATTACAGATAGTGAAAACTACGAAGGCAGATGTAGTGACTAAATTTTCGTTTACTGGGTGATTCCCAATATCTTCAGTAATATATGCACAGAACAAAAAAATTAAGTGAAATCTATTTTACAGGTTCACGGTCCTTTGGTAAGCTTAATGGAACAATCCAGTGGTTCTGGATCTGGTCTTCCCATCCTAGTACAAAGAACAATTTCGAAGCAGATCCAAATGGTTCATTCGGTGGGCAAAGGACGATATGGTGAAGTTTGGTTGGCGAAATGGAGAGGCACCAAGGTGGCTGTCAAAGTATTTTTCACTACAGAGGAACAGAGCTGGTTCAGAGAAACTGAGATATACCAGACTGTTTTGATGAGACATGAGAATATACTGGGATTCATAGCTGCTGATATTAAAGGTAAGGTCTTGTATACACTATTTCCTTAAAAAAAAGTTTGTCAAATTTTGTTTGTATTTCAAATATTGCAGTTGCTCTCACTGATAACAATATCATTGATGATGGTCTCCTTTGAATATAACCAAAACCGATGAAAATTTTTCTACTGGTTTAAAAATATAGAAAGTATTTTGAAAGACTCTTCTTCTTCTTCTCGTGCCACTCCTAGCGGAGATTGGAAATCATCATGGCCACTGCGACTTTGTTAGCAACGCGCCTAAAAAGTTCAATCGAACTACACCCGAACCATTCACGGATTACGAAGCCACGATATTTTTCTTCTTCCCACACTTCTTTTGCCCTGCATGATGTTTGTTAAAAGTTCGTACTTTTCACCTCTCACAATGTGCCCCAAGTATTCCATCTTTCTAGTTTTTATCTCATTTAGAATTTCGCGTCTTTTGTCTAAAGTTTGGAGTACTTGCGTGTTGGTGACGCGGTCCATCCATGATATTGTGAGAATACGCCTATAGCACCATATCTCGAAAGCTTCGATGTTTTTATGGTCAACTGTTTTAGTGTCCAAGCCTCAACTCCATATAACAGGGTAGAAAAGACATAACACCGCAGCATTCGTATTCGTAACTTTATATTGATATCACGATTGCAAAAGAGTTTGCACAATCTATTAAAGACTGATCTAGCGATTTCTATTCTATATCTAATCTCTTTTCTTTGATCAGTATCGGTTGTGATCCAAGCACCTAGATATACAGGGCACACGCTCAATCGTTGTATTGTCTATTACAAGATTAGCTCTGATGTTCTTTGATTTCGTGATTACCATAAATTTAGTTTTTTTCAAATTAATTTTCAAGCCGTAACTGTTACAGTATATATTGAGACTTTGAACGAGATGTAGTTCTACTAGCGTTCCCGATAGGAGAACTGTATCGTCAGCATACCTTATATTGTTGATCGTCTCACCATTTATTATCAGACCAAGATCTTCTTCCTCGAGTGCTTGTTCACAGATAGCTTCACTATACAGATTAAATAAAAGTGGCGCTAAGCTACATCCCTGCCGGACTCCTCGACGGATTTGAATTTCTTCTGTTAGTCTGCCCTCAACCTTGACATTTGCTGTTTGATTCCAATATAGATTGCATATAATTCGAATATCTCGGCTGTCTATATTTTTCTTTATTAGAACTTGTCTTAGTGGTTCATGTTGTACTTTGTCAAAGGCCTTTTCGAAATCAATAAAGCAGGCGTAAATTTCTTGGTTCATGTCTAAGCATCTCTGTGAGAGAACGTTCATTGCAAACAGAGCTTCTCTTGTACCCAGCCCTTTTCTGAATCCCATCTGAGTGTTACTGATGTCTACGTCTAATTTCCTATAGATCCTATTATGGATTATTTTTAAGAACAGTTTTAGAGCATGACTCATCAAAGCTATCGTACGATATTCGTTGCATTCCTTTGTATTTGCCTTTTTTGGCAGTAGTATAAAGGTCGAATTGAGCCATTCCCTAGGTATTATTTTAGTTCTATATATTGTGTAAACTCTGTAATTCTGTAATTAAATGAAAAACTCTGTATTCATGAAATTAGATATGTAGGTGAATACAGTTCTGATTCTATCAAAGAAGTTGAAATATTATAAATTACTGTTGCATAAGAATTGATATAACCCATTGCAGAAGTATCCTGTTCCAAAGTACTAGCGAAACTAGAATAAATATCTTTACTCATAATCTATGATAGCTAGAGCAATTTTTATAATGCATTCATTATCTACTTACATTAAATCTTTATTACAGGTGAAAAATCACTAAATAATTCAAATTTTTGTTTTTGTTATTACATGCTATGAAAATTTAATTAAAAAGTTTTACATTTATAAAATAAATAACGAAAAACTCTTTTTAGGTACCGGAAGTTGGACCCAAATGTTGCTGATAACAGACTACCACGAATGTGGTAGTCTCTATGATTATCTTCAGGACAACTGTTTGGATCCATCGCGGCTCCTGCTTATGGCTCAAAGTATAGCATCGGGACTTTCGCACCTTCACATCGAAATATATGGCACCAAAGGAAAACCGGCTATAGCTCATCGAGACATCAAGAGCAAGAATATTTTAGTGAAGCGGAATGGTGAATGCTGCATAGCAGATTTCGGACTTGCTGTGAAGTATTTGTCAGAAACTAAGGTATGTAATCCATCATTCAGTAATAAAATTTGATTTGAATGTGTTAAAAGTTTTGAATTTATTCTTGTAAGATTTATTATAGTTTGGTAGGAGTCACTGGTTTCACTACTTACTCTTATTACGATAATACTCTTTCTGGGGACATACTCTTGTCCCCAATTTTTTTATTCAGGGTGTTGCATTATTATAAATATTTTGCAACTATATGCTTCCTTTTACTACTTTTTTCTACCTTGCTCTAATTAAATATTAGTTACGAGTCTGCGGGGTTAGAATATATGGATTGTCTTCATAATTATTCGCAAAAAAGAGTCCCCTCTTTGCCTTTATCATACATTCTTTGTTATTTCATTTTTTTGTCTCCAATATCACAACTAATAAGTCGATGTTTTACCAATTTTTCTAACTTTAATCCACTTATTACAGTTTTTACTTCACCTACTGTGATACTTGACCTTATTGAATTCATTTCCCTGGTTACTAAGATCATCAAACTTTTCCTGCACTGCCTTGCTTGTTGTAAAACACAAATCTGCCATACAGCACATTTTTTTTAGGGTAAAATATGTTTCTAACTCATTGAATATGTTTTGAACATTAGTTATCTGGACTACATTGTAGATCTATTTGTCCTTTTGACTATTAAGATGTAGTAGGTTAGCAATTTTTCCTTTATATCTTTTTCAGCCTTACCACTTGCTATTAAGTATATTTTTAAATTTGGTTTTTAGTTCTTAATATTTTCTGACAAGTTACCCTCAAATGATGTGGGAATTGCAGTCTTACATCACCTATATTTATGTAAATTTTCGTCTTCAGGTCTGTTCACAAATTTCCACAGGGCTCTGCCATTATTATAAAGAAATGCTCAGAGGAGTTTTGTACTTTTTATTATAATCTAACTTTATATATCAAAACCATAGATGGATATATTAACATAGATTGAGCATGCCAGCAATGAGCAGTGAGGATAACATCTTTTGACAGTTGTTCGATCTGTTTCTCTAGCACATTGAAACTCCTCACTCCCGATCAAAAAGAGATGGTGTTGTCATTTAGCTTTACAGGATGCTCAGTCGTATGTTAATATATGTGTCTATGATCAAAACCTACATCAAGGGCTTGACATTAATTGCCGTAGATGACATCTGTCAATTGTCTTTATCTAATTTTGACTTATACATTGTAAGATACCTTTGCATTTTCTCAGACATATAATGAAACCTTCGTATTGTTTTCAGGAGATAGATGTCCCTCCAAATGTAAGATCTGGAACCAGGAGGTATATGGCACCAGAACTTCTGGATAAATCAATGAATGTCCACAACTTTGAAGCTCATAAGATGGCCGATATGTACGCATTTGCATTGGTCATGTGGGAGTTGGGCAGGAGGTGCGTCACTGGTGACAAACTCAAGGTATGTTACTTTTTAATAAATAGTTTCTTGAGAATAAAAAACATTTTTTGTCCAATTTGGTCCTTGTATTTTTTGACACCTTTATAACCAATATATTTTGTTTTTGCAGGGAGCAGATGAGTATGCAGTACCATATTATGACTGTGTTCCATCTGATCCATCTTTTGAAGACATGCTGCAAGTGGTATGTGTGAAAAAGATTCGCCCCCAGATACCCTTGAGGTGGGAGGGTGAAGAAGTGTTACAGACTTTAGCCAAAGTTATGCAAGAATGTTGGCACTCTAATCCCGATGTCCGGTTAACGGCGCTAAGAGTGAAAAAGACACTCGCGAAGTTAGACACTGATACAAGTATAAAGATTGTGTAGTGGTCTTTAATTTTGTGACTTTATTTTATATTTAATTGGGGATGGTGTTAGTATTTCAAAGCTTTGAGCTTAACAAAATAATAACATGTACTAAACATAACCTTTTTAAATTTCATCATCAGTATAAATCATTTTTGTTCATTTGGTAACTCGTGCATGTTTTCCGAAAAGTTTCGTTTTTTATGGTAATACTGGTACCATCCCCAGCAAAGACTAGAGATCTAAAATCTCTGAGCGCATTTCCGCATCTGCCACAAGCTTTAAACTCAAAACTCACAGATCCAGATGCGGAAATCGCAGTTTTTAATACATGTTGAAAGAAAAATTGTATATAGATGACGAAATGTTGTAAATATTTGTTTATTAGTTAAAATTTCACTATTATATAGTATGTAAAGTCGAAAAAGTACCTATATATACATTCACAAGAGTCCAGTTGACCTAAATGAAAACCAAATTGTAGATATTAGACAAACGCGCAGTAACTCAAGAATATTATTTTGCCATAAATTTTTGGTTAACTGATTATGATGGCTTCATTGATATTAAGGTAAAACAAATTTAATATAGACGGTATTTGCAATATTTAACATGGAAAATAAAAAAACAGCTACAAATTTAATAACATATAAAAAATCCACTTGTTTTTCATGACATTTTACATATTATGCATTGTTATATAACAGTCCTTACCACATTTTGTGCAATTTTTTATGTAACCGTGAAATAGTGCCGCTGCAGATCGTTAATGATCCTTCCATTGCCGGTCCTTCTTGGACTTGTCTATCCTATAACAGATTTCAATGGTTTTCTCAAGACTATCTGGATTCTCTTACAGTAGTTTCTCCTTAATATAAGTGTTTGTAACCCCACAAATTATCATAGTTTTAATCATGTCCTTCCGGAGTTCGTCTAATTTGGACTTCATACCTCTTTCCTAAACTTCTCTGACAATATATAGAAGTGTATTAAATAAATCATCATTTTCTAACCTCTCTTTTCCATGTTCCAAATCTTACACTACTATACTCCATTCGCTTAGCTCGGGCATATTTTGACAGAATCATTGTAGGAAATCTACAACACAACAATTCCTACTTCTCAGTATTAATAGCTCAAGTATACTACTATTGCAGACTTCTTTCTTTGAAAAAAAGAAGAATTATTCTAAATAGTGGAAGTGCATACTAAACCCATCAAATTTTGGGTAGTATATATATAAAAAATATATTTTAGTTGTTATAATTTAACATAACTATTTATTATATGGTGCAGATAAATAAATATTGATTGTCTGTAATTCACAAAGTTCTATTTTATTTACTATTAATAGTAAAGCAAAGTTTGTTTACTATTAATATTGGCTAAGTACGTGTGCTTGGTTGTATAGTAATTTCCAGCCACTTTTAATCTGTCAAAAAGTAACTAACTTCGCAAAAAAATAATTACTAAGTTCGCTGGGATTAGCTAACCGAGTATAGCTGTATGTAACATAAGTTGCCTAACTAACGTACACTATTAATCATATTCTCACAGTAGTTTTAGTAATCTGTTTATCTTATCTGGTCTATTTAAAATTGCAACTTTCCTAGTAGCAGCTTTCATAGAAAGAAGTATAAAATTTTGAACAAAAGCAACTGTTTTCTTTTCGTTTTTGTATTAATTTTGTCACAAAAAATTGTTAGATATAATAAAATTGGGACAATAGGAAATATGTTTGTCAATCTTTAAAAACAATTTTAAATTTAAACTATACGAGAGGGTACAATTAAAAAATTCAGCTAAACTGTGTTTAATATCTATCTGTATAATATATCTGTAAAAAATATACTGTCAATCTGTAATAATTTTCAATAGATTTTGTACTTATCCATCAACAAGGCTATATTATATCAGTTAACCAAAACATATATTGTTGGCATTTTGTGATATAGTATTGTGCAAATCGTTGGAGACAAAAAACCTTTATTGAACATTTCATCAAGAATATTATAATGTAGCAGATAAAACTATAGTTTTAACCATGTTCATGGTACATTCTTTTGCCAAGAGTCTATCCAACACGATTCATAAATTTTCTTAATATTATTTACTGAGGTTTCTTATAATAAAGCAGTAAATAAGGAAACACTTTCAATTGAGATACTAATAAGAATTTATAAAAAAGAAATGTAAAACGTTTTAGATACATGCATGTCATGAGAGATAAAGAGTGGGAGAAAGAGAGTCCGAAAAGGAGAGAGATATATAGAGAGCGAACCTTTCAAGTTGTAAATTAATGATTCTATACATTCTTGTTATATGAACTTCGTATGTTTGTTGTTAAGTAAATGTTTTGGACACTCAACGATTTTTTTGGGCCTACCATGTACACTCATTCAGGTGCATACTCTTCATTCGTTCATTTTCTGAAGCATATTGATTCAATTGGTGATGTATCTTGATTTTTTCTTACACCGGGATGTTCTGCTATGAACATTTTATACATCTTTTTCCCAGATAGAGTCTCAGGAAGGTAGTAGGTATTCGGATTTTTTCTTCTTGAATAATGAGACTGTCCACTGATCCACTGTTAAAGACATGTTTTGTAGCCTTCGAACCCTTTAATATGTTATTCCATGAAGACCGCAAAAAGCCTTTACACATATTGGTTCTTCTCTTTTTTCCAACCCTATTTTATAATTATAGGCAGCAGAATGTTGGTCTTTGAGCGTTTGCGGAACATTACGTTGGCTTGGCATGACATTTTCTAGTTCTGTTAGTAAAACATCCCTAATTTCAGCGTTTTTTAGGCTTCCTCTTTACTTTGGAATGTGATAAGATAGCCCTACGATGAAATATACTAGTTACTATTTTATTGTTTAAATAAAGCGATTAATTTTACCTGCCAATCTTTCTCGTTTTTAGTTTCCAAAGCATAAAAGTGATCAAAGAAAACTCGAGATTTCTCTTCACCAATAACATTTTAGAATAACATTGAAATTGTGAACACCTAAAAGGAATATAACTGTTTTACTCATCATTTTAAATTATTAATTTGTGTAACGTACTTGCAATTGGGACCCATTTATACTATTACCATATTTTTAATGGAATTTTCTTACGCAAGGAACGTAGGTAATTAGTCCTTCAATCCGTAGATGGCTTACGTCCATTTTCGAAAAAAACTGACATATGGGGTTTTTGCAAAGAATGCTTCAATTGTCTAGCAACAATATTATTGCAGTGAAATTGTTAAAGAATAAGGCTACAATATATTAAAAAATCACTTAAATCGGACAACAGGTTTAGCAAATTCGAGACATCAAAAATGTGAAAAATTAGTGTTACATATTTTTGCTTATAATCATGTATTTTTTTAACTAAATCCCAAACCTGCTACTTACTTCTGCTACACTGGTAAAAAGTGTCTGCAGACCTTCCAGACTGTCTGCAAAAATGACAGTGTCATCACATTATCTTATTCTGTTCAGTCATTCTTCATTTATAAGTATTCCGTCGTCTACACCAGTTAGCGCTAGGTTAGTAAGTGCTCTGAATATAATGTGCTTATATTACCACAAACATAAATCACAAGAAGGTAATAAAACGAACTAATAACTTGTCATAAATTGAAGTTTCTAATTGAATGTGTCAATATAATGACACAAAGCTGATACAATTTGAATCCTACATTATCAACATCTGTAAATTATTAAAATCAATACCAAAAAAGGTTAAATAAAAAGAATTTGCACAGTACTGTATTTGTAACATATTTGAAATACCTGTTTAAGAACAGTCGATTTTCTGATTGTATACTTACTAATGGGTGTTTAAAATATTGGAGTTCAATTTCTGATTTTTATAAGTGTGTTTCTTAGACAAAAATGAGTGTATACCTTTAAATATGTACAAAGTAAATAAGTATTTATTCCTAGTTGCCATATTTATTGGGTGCGCCAAAATTCCGAAAATTCTTGGAAATTGGCGTATTCTGTATAGTTAATTGTTAAGCTATTCCTATACGTGTGCCATGTATCAATTTTTGAGTTACTGTGCAAAATCAGCTGGTGGTATCTGCGACAATCGTCCCGTTGTATACTTTTCCGTACACTCGTTATCAAAAAGCACCAATTTATTGTATTATTTCGGAAAATTTGTCTAAAAAGTGCTCAAGTTAAAATTTTCAAGTGCAATTGAGATAGTCTAAGAATTTTTGCATTAATTTTGTTGTTTCTAAATTTTATAACACATGTTTAACGATTGAATTTAAAAATTTCTGGAAAATGTTATCGGATTTAACGGAATTTTCATTTTATTTCATTAATTGTCCATTTTGTACTTTTCAAGTAGGCCGTGTGACTGTTAGAATGTGCATTTATATTATAATTGTATATAAATTTATTGTTATGACTATATGTGAGCGAATTTGAATGTGCAGTAAATTTATTATTATTGCAAGACTGATATTTTGAATGTTGTGCGTTTTGTGAAGAAAATAAAATAAATATTATGTCAAAAATTATTGCATTTTTTTTTCAACCAATTTATTTAAAAGATACAATAAAATTTAAGGGTCAGGGAGAAAACGATGAGTCAATCTGAGTAGAAACAGTGAAAACTCAAATTGAAAGTTTGAGACGTAACTACTACGTAAATACTATATAATACTAATACTTTTATTCCACATGACCACTTAATAGTGTAACTTAGCTCAAAGAAGATGTATTCATGAAATATTTTTAGTACAATAAAACATTCATACGTACCATAATTGGGAAAAACGTGTTTGTCACACAAAATTGATACATGAGAGTCACAAAATAAGATACAAGAATGATGGGAGTCAGTATGTACCTATTAAACTTCTTATAGATAACAGAATTTTAAGTATGTAAACATCTTGAATACGAATGTAAAAAGTCTTGGTAATTTGCTCCACACGTGGTTTTAATGGGTGTTTTTCTTGTATTCTTTTGTTGTTTTGTTTGTTTGGAAACTCGTAGACGCGGATTCTCTGCAAAAATGATTCAATCAATATAAGATGGTTGGTCGGGTTAAATCAATTATGGTAGCTATTTAGCCTACAAAAAATAGTCACTCAACTTACCCAAAAACTTCATCAGGATCATCATTGCTTTCAAATTTAAGGTCTTGTTGGTAAATTCTTGTAGAATACTTGAGATTCCCTAGGTAGAAACTGTTTCACCACCTCGTATTTAGGTTTAGATACAGATATTCTTTCACTGTACAAAGGTTTTGGTCTAATGTCCAGGTATTTTTCCATATAAACCAAATAAACGATTTTTCTTTTTAATATGACACAATTTCATTTTATTTTTCTCTTTTTTATCATAAGGTAACTTGACTTTTTATTCTAATAATCAGAACTTTTATGTAAAACAAAAGTGGCACTAAGGAATTTTTTTTAAAGATTTTTTGTTAAATTATTAGTTACGTTATTAACTTGCTTTCTTCTGTAGAAACTAACTGTTCTTCTTCCTAGGGTGCCTGTCCGTTCCGAACGTTGGCGATCATTCTGGCCATGATGATTTTGTTGGTTGCCATTAATTATAGTATTTAATTCGGTTATTTTAGTGCAACACCCAATACAGAACTGTAGATTTTGTAACTTTTATTTTCAAGGTGCGAGGTATAGTGCCTTTTTTGTAAATTAGAATAATAAAACGTTTTGTTCGAATTAAGGTTTTTCTTCTGAAACTAGTAAGTAACCAATCACATATTTAAAATATTTAATAAATTATTGATGATGAATTAATTTATATGTCGACTGACCATTGACATTGTTACTAAACAAAAATTATTAGTAAAATTAATGACGATTGTGTTTTGATTATTATTTGTGGGCCGATCCCGGTGGTACTGCAATACCGGGCCAACCCGTGATAGAAGTGGAGCAAGCCCCTTAACCTTCCATCTATTTCCAAAAATCAGTTTAATATACTGGCCCCGCATGCGGGGCGTATCAGATATTAAGCTGATAAGAACAGATACTACACTTTGATCTTAGCCAGAGGCCGAGAAGCGATAACTACAAAGTTTAAAATCGAACTACTCGTGGCCAAAATTAAACTACGTATAGACAAGTGGACACTAGCGCCATCTATCCCGGATAGCGTAAACTTTAGAACGTAAATGTATTCTGTAATATGGACAAGAGTAAATCTAACTCGATGGTAAATATACAGTAATGATTTTCTACATTAAAAACTGATTTTTTTTCAAAAACTTGTATACTTCAAATATTTTGCATCACTTACGTTGGATAGAATTACAACGTATAATATATAGGAATATGTAGAGCTATAAAAATTTAGATTTAAATAAATCGGTAAAAACAGTAAATTTAAAAAAATAAAACTTCCAATAAACCAGTATGCTATAATCGAAAAACTTAAATATAAAAAAATAATTTAACTATATATTACATACCGAGAGTTGTAAGAAGCTTATTACATGCGAGTAAAAAAGTTGCGCGCGAGCCGCGTAGCGGCGAGACCACAGATTCTCCCACGACTTGGACGTTATGTAAAGAAACTCTATTTTAAATCTTTCGAACCATCCTTTACTTGCTTGGAAACTAGAAGATTCGTTGTCAGCCTTTAGATTTTCGTAAAGACGAAGAGTCTTTTCTTGTATTATTCGTGTGCTAATTGGCACTTTCTTTTTTGTTTGACCTTCGATTCAAACGGCCAGTGCTTTTTCCAAGGTTTAAGATCGCGAAAAACAAGTTACTTTGTTACTTTACACTTCTTTGCAGCACTTTTAAATGATTCTCCTGCAGCTAAACAGTCTAACAACTGAATTGTTTTATCTAAACTTATTACACATCTTTTCCTTTTAACAAAATCTTTACTATTCCTTTCAGACATGTTTTCAGTATCAGAACTATTGTAATGTTCGACGTTAAAACGAGAACTGTAGAAATTCAAACTATGTAATTGGATAACGACCGATTACTGTATTCTAAAAATGGTGATGGTGAACTCCTATAATATTAACTATTTTTCGTTAATTTAATTTTTATTTCTCGATTATAGCATACTGATTTATTCGCAGTTTTATTTTATTAATTGACTCTTTACCGATTTATTTAACTCTAAATTTTCTAGAGCTCTACATATTCCTAGATAGGTATACATTCTATCTAAAGTAGGTACTTAAATGATACAAATTTAATGGAAATTACTCGAAAGATTAAAAAGAGACTGTTCATTAAGAACTTATCGACTTAGAATACCATTATCAAGACTTTTTGAAAAGTATTTGGATGTATAAAATCATTAGTGTATTTTATCATCGAGTTAGATTTACTCTTGTCCATGATATTACAGAATACATTTACGTTATAAAGTTTACGCTGTCAGGGATAGATGGCGCTAGTGTCCACTTGTCTATATATAGTTTAATTTTGGCCAGGAGTAGTTCGATTGGGAACTTAGAGAAAATAAAATAAGTATGTCTAATTCATCTCCTCATTTCACTTTGAGTTGAGGAATCTTCTTCTTCCAAAAATTAATAGCTGGATGTTTATTGATGAGAAAGTGAAAAAGAAGGTAATCCCTTTTAAGTCAGGATGGTTAACTACTATTGTAGCAACAAAAGAGTTGTGAGTTGTGGAATATTTGTATTGTAGAGATCTGGGATTTAAGTTTTTAAGAACCCGTTCTTTAAATCAAGATCCTTTAGAAAACTCATTTGCTTCTATCCGTCATCTATGAGCAGAAAATATAAATCCAAATTGCTACCAGTTGTTTATATCATCATTTAAAACATTATGTTCTTAATAACTTAATTCAAATAAAAATTGTGAAACAGATTCGTGATAATTTGCAAGACTTTTTGGATAGTTCAATCACCAACAATGATTTTATTGATTTAGATCTTTTAGAGGTAAATGAAATAGAACATCTAACTCTACCATTACCGGATACAGATGTTACAGGTCATGGTGGCAACACATTAGGATATGTTGCTGGGTATATAACAAAAAAAAATTAAAATAATTTTCTATACCATGCTCTCAGGTTAGCAAGCCAGGATATTCTTCGTCGTGGGACTCTTTTCCTTCAATTTTACCGTGCAAAATGCATTGTTCAAACTGTTAATTAACATTAATTATAGTATTTAATTCGGTTATTTTAGTGCAACACCCAATACAGAACTGTCCGAAAAACTTCGAAAACGGTCATACTGAAATACCTAGATTTTGGGATGTAACTTTTATTTTCAAGGTGCGACGTATTGTGCCTTTTTTGTAAATTAGAATAATAAAACGTTTTGTTCGAATTAAGGTTTTTCTTCTGAACCAATCACGTATTTAACCAAATAACCTAATCACGTATTTAAAATGTTTAATAAATTATTTTATGTCCACCGACCTGACAGTATTTATTACCTAACAAAAATTATTAGTAAAATTAATGACAATTGTGTTTTGATTATTATTTGTGGGCCGATCCGGTGGTACTGCAATACCGGGCCAACCCGTGATAGAAGTGGAGCAAGCCCCTTAACCTTCCATCTATTTCCAAAAATCAGTTTAATATACTGGCCCCGCATGCGGGGCGTATCAGATATTAAGCTGATAAGAACAGATACTACACTTTGATCTTAGCCAGAGGCCGAGAAGCGATAACTACAAAATTCCAAATCGAACTACTCGTGGTCAAAATTAAACTACGTATAGACAAGTGGACACTAGCGGCATCTATCCCGGATAGCGTAAACTTTAGAACGTAAATGTATTCTGTAATATGGACAGGAGTAAATCTAACTCGATGGTAAATATACAGTAATGATTTTCTGATTAAAAACTGATTTTTTTTCAAAAACTTGTATACTTCAAATATTTTGCATCAATTACGTTGGATAGAATTAGAACGTATAATATATAGGAATATGTAGAGCTATAAAAATTTAGATTTAAATAAATCGGTAAAAACAGTAAATTTCAAATAAAACTTCCAATAAACCAGTATGCTATAATCGAAAAACTTAAATATAAAAAAATAACTTAACTATAAATAAATTAATGAAATTATGTATTGTTCATTCGAATATACACTTCATCTAATTTATATAACGATGCACGTCATCGGCGTCATAGCCTGTGACGTTACATGATACCAACACAAAATATTTAGGGTGTAGGTGTGTTCTTTTTTAGAATCACTTTACCGAGTACACTGGCATTACAGCCACTAGACATATTTTATTATATACGCGTAGAAATAATATTTAAAAATTTCTATTAATGTTAACTTAAAGAAATACACAATAATATGTTTCATTTAATTTGTATAAATGCATTATAAAGCGTTTTTATCAAGAACATATTGTTCGGAACACACTGTAACTGTAATCGAACAAAGCTAAAATTTTGGCATAAATTGGTAACACTTATTTGACAGTTGCGGTGTTGACAATTTTTGTACTTCATTATTTTGAATTTTAAAGTGAATATCTCTTGTTTTATATTTTTAACTATTTAATA